AAAAGTACTTAAGACCATGGACTTCAACGCTACCACTGCTGATAATTGTTTCTTTGTCAAGAGGGGTGATGATTACATTGAATTTGTATTGATTTATGTGGATGACATTTTATACATAGGAAAACATAAAGAAAGAAGAGAAACTTTTGTAACTAAACTAAATGAACATTTCTCATTGAAATCTTTAGGCAAGGTAAACAAATACCTTGGTGTCCAAATTAATAAGACAAAAAGGGGATTCAAACTTACCCAGAGAGATAAGATCATAGATCTTTTAAATAAATGCAACTTAAACAATGCCAAACCTTGTGATACCCCTATGCAAACTGACTTTCTAAGGAATTCTGATGAATCTTCTCCCGAGTTCAAGGACAATACATTCTATAGATCAATCATAGGTTCACTCCTTTACATATCTAATTGGACTAGACCGGACATCGCTTTACCACTCAATTTATTATCTAGGCATGTCAGCAAACCAACAATGTACCACTGGGAAGCTGTTAAAAGAATTTTAAGATATTTAAAAAGTACACTAGACTTTTGTTTAATGTTAGAACCTAATGATATTAAAGAACCAAAGCTTACGTGTTATGCAGATGCAGATTGGGCTGGAGACACCTCATGCAGAAAAAGCACATCTGGTTATGTATTTCTCTTAAATGACTGTCCAGTTTACTGGTACACTGGTAAACAAGAACTAGTGGCTACTTCAACAACAGAAGCGGAATATGTTTGTTTATCCAAGGCCGCAAATAATCTTGTATGGTTTAATGATTTAATTTCAGATGTCTGGAAAAAACCTGCTCTGCCTTTTGTTATGCATGAAGACAATAAAGCAGCCATTGAAATATCTAGATCTGATGCCATTGGACAAAGGTCCAGACATATAGATATAAAATTTAAACATGTGAGACAATTATCTCAGGATGGGTTTATTAAAGCAGTGCATTGCGACACTTCAGAACAATTAGCTGATATATTAACGAAGCCTTTACCTTCTAAACAGCATAAATACTTAACCTCTAAGTTGTATGTTTTGTATTGTCCTGAATCTGAATGTAACTGGTGTTGTATAACGAATCGGCATTTAGAGGGGGATTTGTCAGATGTAAATGCCTTATTCTCCAATGTGTAAATAGTGTACAGACAGGGTATCAGGGGTTAACTTATTCTTCACTTCTTAATGTATTCATAATTCACCACTCCCACATATAGCTCCACCCATTGTATATATAAGGAGCTACCTACACCATTTCCCTTGCTTCTATCTGTGAATATTCAGTGAATATAGAATGCCTAATGTAAATAAAGAATATATAGTTAAATCTTTAACTCTTGTTGATCTTATTGAGTCTGATCCTGAAAATATTGCAACACAAACGTTATGAGAACCATACCTCCTGAATATGAAGATGAGCATTAACACAATGCAAATATGAATATAGAATATTATAGGGTACTATATGGAATGTTAACATGCTACACACTAAAGTTACTGAGCATGTGTGCTACATCAGCATATATAAAATAAGGAATTCTGGGAGTTGAAATAGACAAGTCATAAAGGAGCCAGGGTTCCCCACCTTTGGTCTAAGGAAACATCAAGTCCCAAAAATGGCATCTTCAGGGAGAGAAAGTCAACACTGGCAAGATGACTGATGGAGCACCATGATGCAAGCTGTGCTGTTTTTGGACACACATGCAACCAGGGCCGGATTTTCCTATAGGCTAACTAGGCTTCAGCCTAGGGCCTCAAGATCAAGAGGGGCCTACACAGTGGTGGGATTCTGGGGGTTCTAGGGGGTTCAGCCGAACCCTTTGTTAAATTGTTGGCTCACCCGCCCCTCGCCTCCCACCCACGCGGCGCCAGCCTACCGTACCCAGGGGTAGGCAATTGTGGCTCTTTTACAATCTGTGGACTTCAACTTCCAGAATTCCTGAGACAGCTTGGCTGTCTCAGGAATTCTGGGAGTTGAAGGCCACAGGTTGTAAAAGAGCCACAATTGCCCACCCCTTCCCTAGCCTGAGTTCCGCTGCCTGGGATCCACATGGGCTCCGGATGCAAGACAGCAGGATGGAGAAAGCAGCTTTCATGCCTTCACTCACCCTCACTCTCTGCTCTGTTGGATCGCCGGCCGTTCGCTTACCCCGCCCACTCCCCATCTATTGCTGCCTCCGATGGCTAGAGGAAAAAAAAACTTCAAATTCTTGTCGCGGGGCTTCAAAGGGCCGCCCTAGAACCAGTGGTGCAGCCGAACCCTTTGTTAAATTGCTGGCTTGCCCCGCCCCTCCGCACCACTATTTATTGCCAATAAATAGTGGTGGGCGAGGGGCGGGGGAGCCAGCAATTTAACAAAGGGTTCGGTGTTTTTTTTGTAATTTTATTGGCCCATGGAGGTTCAGCATAGGCTAATTGGCCTCCCGGGTCTCAGCTGATTTGTCTCAGCTGTTTTGCTCAGGGCTCTTCTGCTTCCTTGCAAAGAGTGCTGATTTTTTTTCCCCCTAGCTATGCTGAGAAACGAAAGTGAAACTGCTTTGCTGTTGCTGCAAGGTTGGAAAATTAGGCAGGCAGAATTCTTTTCTTTTTCCTCACCAAAAAAGGTAGGTGCAAACAATGGGAAATTTAGGGAAAAAGAGGAGAGTTCAGGATTTTAAAACACAAAAGAAAAAAAGCTCTATTTAACTAGGGAATTGTAATAATTGAGATACTATTAATTGTATATTTCTGAAAGCAGAAATGATTAAGTTGTGGTTTGGAGGAATATATGGGGGAAATTATTTGGTTTATTATTATTGGTAAATATAATTAATGGATTTGTAAGAAATTGGATTGCATGGAATTAATTGGAATATTCATGTTCATATTGATTAATATACAAAAAAGGTAGTTATATAACTAATTGATTTATATTAAAATGTTGAATTTATATTAAACAACTAATATTACATAATTAACCAATGTGAGGATGGATATAAAAATAGATGACAATGGGAAGGGGTATAATATAGAATAGAAGGGAAAAATTGAATTTGATTAAGATTAGAGATGAGGATGAAGGGTAATATTGGTTTTTTACAAAAATAGATGAGGAATAAATATGGCAAAAAGGAAATATAGAAATTGTAAATTTAATTGAAATGACTAAACACTGTTTAAATTTGTGAACCGGCCAAATACTCTGTTCAAAGAAAATACATTGTATGTTTGTATGTGTGTTTCTAATTATTGTTATTTATTCATATTTGTTCTCTTTTATTCTTTAAAGTTTACAATTCATTCTTTATCTTAATATCTTTATATTTGTTTGGGGTTGGCTTTCTTCCCTTTCATCTTTTTTATTGTACAGCAATCTTTCTCCTCAAACCTACCACCTCTCTCTTTTCTTTCCTTCTTACTTTCTCTTCCTTCCCCTCTTCTTCTCCTCCCTACTTCCTCTTCCTTTCTCCTTCTCCTCCTCTCTTCCTCCCTCTCTTACCCTCCCTCCTACTCTAATTTCCCTTCCCTTCCTTCATCCCTCTCTATTGCTGTATCCTTTTATGCATATGGACTACTCAGAGGGCTGAAAAAGTTATTTCTGACTGGTCCTCGCACTTTTGACCAGTCCTCGAACTTACGACTGTCCTCACATTTTATGTTTTTGCCCTATCTTGTCACCATGGTGAAGAGAAGCAGTTGTGAAATGAGTGACATGGTTGTTAAGAAAGCTGCACGGGCATAAGTGTGAGGACCGGTCAAAGTGCGAGGCCCAGTCAAAAATGACTTTTTTCAGCCGTCTGAAAAAAGTCTATGCACATAGCCACGCCCACCCGGTCACATGACGAGCTACCCACGCCTACACAGTCACGTGACCAGCTAGCCACGCCCATCCAGTCACATGATTGCCAAGCCACACCCCCAACTAAGCCACGTCCACAGAACCTGTTGTTAAAAAAATTGAATCCCACCACTGGTGAAAGGGCCTCATAAGTGGAATAGCCTAGGGCCTCTTTTCATCTAAATCCGGCCCTGCATGCAACATTGGTCCATGCACAAAAGGAGCCCAAAGGTGCTTTTTCCAAGACTTGTAGGCTTGCCAGGTGTCCACTATTTGAGCGGGCAGTCTGCTTTTTTCACATTATGTTCACTATTTTTTTTTTCACAAAATAGTGGACATTTTTTTTATTCAAAAGCTTTATGATGAAATGGTACGTAATCTAAAACTGTACAGTCTAAGAGAATAAGGATAGGAGAATCGTGTTTTGTCTTTTTTTTCATAAGTTAGAATGAGATAAAGATCGAATATCCATTGAACTCGATTCTCCGAAAAAATTAATGATGAGATTAAAATAAAAATATATTATAAAATTATGTACAGTTCACATTTTTAAAATGTATTGTAGCTTGTGTCGACTGACCTAAAATGGCGTCGAGTGATGAGAGTGACAGTGGCGAGATTTCAAATTCTTTAAACAAAAGAGAGGAGTGTGCAAATACACCAAAATTTATGTTCATCTGCAGGGCGATTCATCCCTTGATAAGTGAACGTACTTTTTCAAGAAAGAGCCAGCTCCGAGTTTACTGAAACTATTCCAGTATTGTGCATCAATGCACAATATCAAATGCAAATGTTGAACGAATTTTCAGCGTCATGGGAAATTTGTGGACTGACAAACGTAACCGACTGCTTGTACCATCAGTTTCAAGTGAACTTTGTATATTTTTTAATATTTCTCAACGTTGTACTGAAATTAAAGAATTATTCTTTAAACACAAAGAATTGATCAAAGCTGCGCAGTCAAATAAAAAATACACATGACAGCAAAGTAAAATGTAATTTAATATTTTACATATTATTATAATATATTTGATGTTTTGAATTTTAAGTAAAGTTTTGAAGTGATTATTTTAATACGTGTTAAAATGTTTGTAAGAAAATATATAATTTAATTGTAATTTTTTTAAAAAATTTTTACTACTTAACCCCCCTCTCCCCCCCCCCGCTTGTCCGCTATTTTTTGGAAGCAGACCTGGCAACCCAACTGCACCGGCTGGAGGGATTGGGGTGGGAGGCACTGTGTTGCGGTGGTTCTCCTCCTATCTCTCCGACCGGTCACAGTCTGTGTTGGCAGGGGGGCAGAGGTTGACCTCGAGGCGCCTTGTTTGTGGGGTGCCACAAGGGTTGGTCCTCTCACCACTCCTGTTCAACATTTATGTGAAGCCGCTGGGTGAGATCATCCGTGGATTTGGGGTGCGATGCCATCTGTACATTGATGACACTCAGCTGTACATCTTCACCCCAAACCACCCCAACAATGCCCTTGAAGTGATGTCCCAGTGTCTGGATGGGGAGGAACAGGCTTCGACTCAACCCTTCCAAGACCGAGTGGCTGTGGATGCCGGCATCCCAATATAGCCAGCTGTGGCTAGGGGGACCTTTGCACAGGTTCGCCTGGTGCACCAATTGCAACCCTACTTGGATCGGGAGGCTCTCCTCATGGTCACTCATGCCCTTGTCACCTCATGGTTAGATTATTGCAACACGCTCTACATGGGGCTACCCTTGAAAAGTGTTCGGAGACTACAGTTGGTCAGAACGCAGCCGCGCGAGCTGTTGTGGGTGCACCTAGATACACCCACATTACACCAATTCTCCGTGAGCTGCACTGGCTCCCTATTGGTCTCCGGTCACAATTCAAGGTGTTGGTTATTACCTTTAAAGCCCTTCATGGCTCAGAGCCAGGTTATCTTCGAGACCGCCTTCTGCTGCATAGCTCCCAGCGACCGGTAAGATCCCACAGAGTTGGTTTCCTCCGGGTCCCGTCAGCTAAACAATGCTGGTTGGCAGGCCCGCAGGGGAGGGCCTTCTCTGTGGCTGCCCCAGCTCTCTGGAACCAGTTACCTCCTGAGGTCCAGACCATCCCCACCCTATTGGCCTTCAGAAAAGCGGTGAAGACCTGGCTTTTCCAGCAGGCCTGGGGCTGTTGATCTCACTCCTGCGATCTGGCGAGATCCGGCCATGAATGGCGTGAATGAGTTTTTAATGTTTTTAATTTTTAAATGTTTTTTATAATGATTTTTAGGAATGTATTGTGAGCCGCCCTGAGTCTTCAGAGAGGGGCAGCATATAAATTGAATTAATTAAATTAAAATAAAGTAAATTGTAATTATGGTTTGGGCAGCAATGGAGAAAGATCAGCCGGGATCCCAATCCACTCAGGTAAGAAGGCTGCAGAGGGCTTGAAGACCTTGAGAAATGGAGAGTCTGGGAGGGTATAATTGGCTAAATAAACAGCCTCCCCACCTGCTAGGTAGGCAGCCCAGATACCAAAAGTCCCAATGGTCATGATTGTGTGGTTGCAATGACTAAGGAGAGCAAAATCCCTTCCTGGAGAGCCTTCCTTCCCATCCCCAGCATAGTAAACATCCCCCATGGAGGCATTAATGTTCTTCTTGCACCACTCCATCCCATTGCTGGTGACCACAAAGATGGGATTGAGGTATTTCTTTCTGAAGTAGTTCATGGCTTTCTCCAAGTAACCTTTGTCAGCCACCACACCTTTCCAGGCTTTGGGCATTACCCTCACATAATCCCCTCTCCGGACATGCACCCCAACATATGTCACATTCTGACGTTCTCCCCGCATGATTTGCAGGTAGTGGTTGACATCTTCCTTGATGTGGTCATGGAAAGTGAACTCTTTTAGTATTTCCTGGCGGATGTGGTGATAAAAGGTGTAAGAACAAGGGTAGCCTGTCAATTGGACATATTTCCCTTGGATGTGACGATAGTCCTCTGACATCCAATCATGCAAATAAACATTCTTCCATTGGATCTTCCTAAACACCTCAGCAGGGATTACAGGCAAAGTGATCTTGAAGACTGGTGATAAAGCCGAATGCATTTCTGGATGGATGTAGGCTTGATATCCATTTAGCTTGGCTAAGGAATAAAGGGTAGCATATTGTCCCATCCGGTTCCCGAGACGCCCAATACAGTTCACTGTCCATATTCCAACATTAATAGCCCCAGAGGACAAACTAGAATTAGGGGCAATGTGCTTGAGTGAAATTTGTTCTATCAAGGAAGAATTATATGTGTTTTTGGTGGATGTGCCATAGTAAAAGATCTTCTCAGATAGATGAAAAATTATGGACAAAGAAAGGAACCCCAAAATGTAGAAGAAATATAAGAGGGAAGATTGAACGGAGGTACCTCTTTCTTGATGTTTAATTTTTACAAAGGAGAGAATCCTAAAGAGAAAGTAAATTGAATTTAATACTCAGGTGCCACAGCACACTGACACTCTTGATAGTTCAAGTTTATGTTTATATATTCAAAAGTAAGACCTGCTAATGTTGATGGGGTTTACTCCTAATAAATATCTATTTGTTCAAACATGATATTTTCTTAAAACTTAAAGAGAAATGGACTTGCATAACTAAACTATATTATGTTTAAAACAGTTTTAACCTTGTTAGCTTTTCATCCTGGTTTATGGAATAAAGCTCATGCAGATTGTTAGGATCTATATCACAGATGGGCAACATTTCCAGTTTCAAGAACTGACAACTGGCTCATCTGAACAACAACCTTGCTGTTGATGGTGTCCATAGGTAGCGGTGGGGCTAATATTTTTCAGCCCACTTGGGTCATTTTGTAGGTATTTAAGGGTGGAGATGGGAAAGAGAATATTCTGGATAAATACAAAGTATTTCTCGTATTTACAAATCCTTCAACCTCCCTTCTTTCAATAGTTATAAAGTTCTTGCTAAATTTTTCAGTAGAAGATGGTCAAATTTCACCAGCATGTTTTGAGAACTGGTTTGGTTTGGATGAATTGATTTTTTTTAAGGTGAAAAAGGGATCGATTTGCCTTTGTCTTCCCTTTCATTCTTACTTTTTGAAAGGGAAATGTTTTTTGCCACTTGCTATTGAATTTGGTATATGTATTCTTGCAATCTGAGGGGTTTGCATAAGGTGTCAGCCATGGGTTGTCCACCTCTGCCATAAACCATAGTGGACACTGGAAGTTTTTAAGAAGAGATTGGACAACCGTTTGTCTGAAATGATATAGGTTGCCTTCCAACCCTGTTATTCTGATAAATTATTATGGCTAATTTTTCACAACCCCTTTGCCCAATACATGATGGTTTAGCACAGGGGTGTCAAACTCAAGGCCCACGGGCTAGATCTCGCCCATGGGGTGCTTAGATCTGGCCTGTAGGGCTGCCCTGGAAACAGCAAAGGACCAGCCTGTGGTGTCTCTGCCAGTGAAAACGGAGCTTCGGAGGGCCACAGGCGGCCCTCCCAAGCTCCGTTTTCGCTGGCAGAGAGTTGCAGGAAGCCATTGCACTGAAGACAGAGCTTGGGAACCCGTTTTCACTGGCAGAGCATTCGGGTCATCACAGGTGCCCCCAACATGAGTGACATTGAGCTGGCCACACCCACCCTGGCTACACCCACCCCAGTTCCCCGAGATCAAACACAATCCTCAATGAAATCGAGTTTGACACCCCTGGTTTAGCACAAGCTGTGAACTCAACATTAACTAATATCCACTTAGAGAACTGAACGCTCATGATGCTGTCCATAAACAGGTCTACAACTGGTTTGTGTTTGGCTGGGAATAGCCCTTGATCCTTATTAATAAATAGTAAGTAAAATTATGTGGCTTGGCCCAGATGCTAAATTGCGTCACACTGACTTCTATGACAGAAAATGTGGACACCAACGCCCTTTAAAATATTGGGTTTGTAAAATCTACAAAAGGAGTCTGATAACTAACACATTGATTACAAGGCATAAGCTTTTAAAGCAATTTGTTAGTGTCCTTCTGATTTTGTGATTCAAAGGCTCTTACCTTAATGCTCTACTTGAAATCACCTGGCTGGCTGCTAAGATTGCTGGACTATACCATTATATTCAAATAGTAATTGGGGTGGGTGGGTGTTGGAGCTGCTCTTATTTTGGAAGAGAGTAAAAAAAAAAACAACACCTTGTAATCTTTCACCCAATGAGAAGTCAGGCTCATTTTTTGGAAAATGCCATGGGCAACATTCCTCATTTGACTTCTTGTTCCAACTCTCCTGGCCTTCTCTATTGCTATTGCCATTATCTTGTCTTTATCTTTCACCAAAATGGCTTCAAGCAAAAGCTTGGCTTTCTTCTCCTCTTCCTTAATACCACAGATGTTGCTTGTCTCTGGCCAGGTGACACTATGGCAGCTTGTCTGCCCAAGTGCTGAACTGGGGGAATTGCATCTTATGGCTTCCACTCCAGTGGAAAAAGAAGTTTGGTTCTGAAGGAGAGGAGAAAGTCAATGAAGGCGGGGAAATAGCTCAGTGTTTTAAATGCCTTGGTCCTTCTTTTCGGAATCTAATGATGAATCCTTAGCTTCCCATGAGCTCTTAATCAGCAAATCTGAACCATCCCAATCTTTGTATTCCTTTCCTTTCCCCTTTTTGAAATTTCAAAATATCTACTATATTTACTCTAATGTCCACCATCTGTCCATCATAGCACATGTACACCAACACACACAGGCACACACACACAAGCCCCATATCCATAATCCTTACCTTTTCCCCCAGCATTTTCCTACCATTGTCTCTTCTATTCGCGACCATCAGTTTCAACTTTCTCAAGATATATTTATTGTAAACTTCATGGGTCTGAGTGAATACTCAAATCCTCTATTCTTTGTCACTTTTGATGAAATTTGCTGCAGCTCACAAAACTTTATATCTTTTAATGAAATTGTTGGTCATAATTCTCTTCTAATTTAGGCTATCATAAACCAACATTGCTCTCTCTGTATAATACAATGTCCATTCTTCCAGTGTCGCGTTCGGCTAATCAAATTTTGCCTCCACTCTCCCCACAGTTTGTTCCTCATTGCAATTAAAAAAAACAATCAACACAAATCTTTTTCATTGGCTCATGGTAAAAGATTAACTTGGGAGCATTAAATTCTACTCAATCATTTAAAAGGACCTAGCTATTTGAGTATAACCTATAAATATTCAAATTTTTTTATTTTCTTCCCATGGATCTTGCTGTAACTTGATACAGAGCAAATAAGAACGCCTTCTGTTCTACTAACTCCTAAATCTAATAATTTTTTCCTTCGTCACAGGTCAAATTGAAAATATATGGATCTGTTCTGCCCCACCTCCGGATTTCTGAGGATATTGACACACACCAACGGTCCTTACCAAATGTATTAAGTAACAAGAATAAACAAGACCAGCAAAGGTTGGCAACCAGCCCAGGAAACAAGATATGATAAACCAAAATACTCTGATAATAATACAAGTTGTTTCCAGCAAGAACTGGAATGCGACTTTTTTCTTTTCTTCTTTTTTTATTAAATTTATATACCGCCCTACTCCCGAAGGACTCAGGGAAGTGAACAGGCACAAAAATAAAATACAAAAATACAAAAATTTAAAAGCAAAAATAAAACCAGATTAAACAATTTAGCCCGAGACAAATTTAAAGCATCCCAATAATTTAAAAACAGATTTAAAATTTTCAATTTAAAAGAAAAGGGGGAAAAAGGTTAGGCCAGGCCAGCTTGCTGGAATAGGAAGGTTTTAGGAGCGCGGCAGAAAGTGTGCAGATCCGGGATCCTCCGTGTCTCCAGGGGGAGCTCATTCCAGATAGTGGGTGCCCCCACTGAGAAGGCCCTCCCCCTGGGTGCCGCCAGTCGACACTGTTTGGCCAATGGCACCCGGAGGAGCCCCTCTCTATGGGAGCATACCGGGCGGTGGGAGGCTATTGGTGGTAGTAGGCGGTCCCATAAGTAGCCAGGTCTTAAGCCATGGAGCGCTCTAAAGGTGGTAACCAAAACCTTGAAGCGCACCCGGAAGACCACCGGGAGCCAGTGCAGCTCACACAGGAGAGGTGTTACATGGGAGCGCCATGTCGCTCCCATAACCACCCGCACGGCCGCACTCTGCGCCAGTTGGAGCCTCCGGGTGCTCCTCAAGGGGAGCCCCATGTAGAGAGCATTGCAATAGTCCAGGTGGGAAGTGACGAGGGCATGAGTGACTGTGTGCAAGGAGTCCCGATCCAGAAAGGGACGTAACTGGCGAATCAGGCGAACCTGATGAAAAACCCTCCCGGTCACGGCTGTCAAATGCTCTTCTAAAGACAGCGTGAATTCAGGAGGATGCCCAAGTTGCGAGCCCTCTCCGTGGGGGCCAGTGATTCACCACCAATAGTCAGCGATGGCGTCAACTGACTATATCAGGACGTCGGAAACCACAGCCACTCGGTCTTGGATGGGTTGAGCCTGAGCCTGTTTCTCCCTATCCAGATCCGCACGGCCTCCAGACACCGGGACTTAAATAGGCTAAGGAAGTGGCCAATTATCCTCAAGCCCTACTCTTGAGTAGACCTCCTACTCCTGAGTAGCCACTCCTGCCTTTTGGCAGCCCTGCGTGCTCAAGCATTGAGGAGAGGCTCCTCCACTTCGCTCTCTCCACTTGAAGGAGCCTCTGGAGGTTCTGAAGGCCCTGGCTGAGTCTCTGCCTCTGGCACCACATCCTCTTCAGCCTCCTCGATGTCCAACGCAAGTGCCAGCTGTGCAGGCTGCTGGCGCAACACCACACCAGCCTCCTCATCGTCAGGATCAGCCACGATCCACGCAGGCCGCTGGCGGGCCACAACAGGATCACTTGCAATGTGACAGACATAATCCCCTATAAATAAATGAATAAATATTCCTCTAAACCAAAAAATAAATATTCCCCTAGCCTCAACAAGGTTCTGGACACCTTCCCCAATCCTTTTATTTAACCTGAAGAAAAATCAAATACAATTTCAAACATTTTACCTGATTGGTTATCAGTAAATATTGGCTGTCTTAAATTTTCTTTAAAAAAAACTATATGAACACCAATAAATATAATACATATTGTTTGATTAAAACTCTGCTGACTAAAAACATGATCCACTGTTTCATCTAAATCTGATAGTAAATATTTCCTCAGGTAGGACAACATTTGTAGGCATCAAATGAAGACATTTCTGAGGCTAAAATCAAATTATCAGAACAGAGTAGTAATGGCCCACAGTTTCCAAAGAGCTAAAACTTTCCTGTCCCAAAGGAATTCTTCTAATCTTCTTTTAGAATAGAATTATGGAGTTGGAAGGGACCTTGAAGGTCTTCTAGTCCAACCCCCTGCTTAGGCAGGAAATCCTACAACACTTCAGACAAATGGTTATCCAATCTCTTCTTTAAAACTTCCAGTGTTGGAACATTTACAATTCTTGAGGCAAATTTATTTATTTTATTTTATTTTATTTAGTTTGTCAAACATGTATGGGAAAACATATAAACATGGACATGAACACATGAACATGTATAAACATGGACATGAACACAGGAAATGAGTATGAATAAATGGGGACAATAGGACAGGGATGGTAGGCATCCCTGTGTGTAAGCGCATATGCACGCCCCCTACAGACCTCTTAGGAATGGGATGAGGTCAACAGTAGACAGTCTAAGGTGAAAGTTATGGGGGTTTGAGGATGTAACAACAGAGTCGGGTAGAGCATTCCAGGCATTGACCACCCTGTTGCTGAAGTCTTATTTTCTGCAATCGAGTTTGGAGCGGTTTACCTTGAGTTTGTATCTACCGTATTTCCATGAAAATAAGACCCTGTCTTATATTTTTTTGAATCCTGAAATAAGCGCTTGGCCTTTTTGCCATGTGCTCAAAAGCCCGATTGGGCTTATTATCAGGGGATGTCTTATTTTGGGGGAAACTGGTTATTGTTTGCCCATGTATTATTACAGTTGAAGCTGAAGTAGTCACTGACAGGTAGGACACTGTAGCAGACGATTTTGTGTACTACGCTTAGGTCAGACCGTAGGAGGCATAGTTCTAGGTTGTCCAAGCTCAAAATTTCAAGCCTGGTGGCATAAGGTATTCTATTGTGAGCAGAGGAGTGGAGGACTCTTCTTGTGAAATACCTCTGTTCCACTGTTTTTTACTAGAGATAGGTAACCTACTATCCAAGATTGCTTTCTTCCTATTTCACCATGAATATGAAACCCCTTTGTTGGCATGTATGAAAACAAATTTCAGCAGATACTGCCTGCCATAGAAAGGCAAGAGGTCAGCCCAAGAGGTCATAATTCCTGTTTCTAAGACAGAGACAAAAATGTTAATTTCTCAGTGGTCTGCAGGGGAAGTGTTAGAGAACATCAGAAAGGCAGATAAGGATTCCAGAAGCATCCTGTGATGAACTATAGTAGGATGGACTCCCAGGAGTGTATTCCAGAGGAATAAGACGAGGCAATTCGGTCCAGATGGTTTGTGTTAGAAAAAGAGGGCGAAGACAGCTCCTTCCTAATAGTTCTCAGGTATTGAATGTTATTCCTGCTGACTTTGCAGACATATCAATGATGTTTCCTTACAACAAAGCTATACAAATGTGTTGTTCTGTATTGTTTTGTTTTAACATCCTTTTGTTTTTATTGTTCCCTTTTTATGATGAAATGTAATGAAAGTGGATCCCCAGGAGGGAGGGGGAATCTGCATTCCAGAGCAGCTTAGCCCAGATATCATGTGTGAGAGAAAGAAGGTGAAGACAGCTCCTCCCTAAGAGTTTACAGAGTATTTTGTAGATGCAGACAGCGAAATATTCAGTCTGGCAAAACTTTGTCCAAAGATATGAAACAATAAAGAACTCAGCATGGAAGAATTACCACCTGTTATTCTTGGTTTGAGGCTTCTGGGATTTGTTCCCACTTCTGCAATTTTTTCCGCTTCTCAATCTACCTATAGTCTTAGAGCATTTTTAGGGTCTTCCATGCAAATACTAAACAGAACACTTTCTCCCTAGACCAGAGGTGTCAAACTCAATTTCATTGAGGGGTGCATCAGGGCTGTGGTTGACCTCGGGGGGCCGGCTAGGCGTGGCCGACTGGGTGGGCGTGGCCAATTTTGTGGGCAGGGCCAGCTTGATGCCACTCACTGGGCATTGCCGACTGGGTGGGCGTGGCCATCTTGATACCACTCCCCAAACTCCTTGACATGTTTCCTCTTCGCATTGGGTAGACTGGGTCGAAGCGATGCGGGTAGGCAGGGCCAAAGTGATGTGGGCTGGCCCCTTACATTCTTCAGGATGGCCCCATGGACCGGATGCAGCCACTTTGCGGGCTGGATCCAGCCCGCGGGCCTTGTATTTGACACCCCTGCCCTAGACCCAATGAATCTGAACAATTCTCATCCAATCTCCAATGTTTCCTTTTTAGGGAAAGTTGTTAAGAAGGTGGCCAGCTTACAAATCTAAAGGGCTCTGGATGAAATGGACTGTCTGTATCCTTCTATGTCTAGATTCAAACCTGGCCATACTACTGAAACAACATTGATACTGCTTATTGATGATCACTGCATCCGTCCTGGCCCTCTTTGATTTCTCAGTGGCTTTCAATACTATGGATCATAGTATCCTTCTGGGCTGACTCAGGAATTGGGAGTAGATGTCATGGTACATTGATGGTTTTCCTTTTTTCTTTGGGGCGGGTTCCAGTCACTGTTGGTAGATGGGAATGCTCAAGTCCGTAGTCCTCTGCTTTGTGGGCTGCCTCAAGGCTCTTCTTTCTCTCTGCTCTTAATTAACATCTACATGGGGCTGTAGGTGAGGTCATCCATCAACATGGGTCAGAAATGATCAGTATAACAATGACACCCAACTATACATCATTGTCATGGGCTAATCATGTGATGCCATTCAGGTTCTTTCCCAATGCCTGGAGCCTCTTTGGTTTTGGACAGGAGAAAACAGTCTTTGGCTGAATCCTGCCAAGACTGAGTGGCTGTGGGTTGTAAGA